CTATCCACGGCGACAACATCTTCTTTCCGGTTTCGACGTTGCGGAGCCAAGGTTGTTGGGTCCTTTATAGTTGAGTACCGTCCATACTCCATCGTACCGTTCCTTCCTGGTAGGATCCTTGTTGGATACTCTACCAGGACGAGGAGATCTCTCTTCTGGAAGTCCGGTACGGATTTCTTCTTATTGTAGAGTTCGGCTGCTTTCTGGAAGGCTTCGTCGATGTTCGTCTTCGCGATGTCGTGAGCCCTCTGGAGCCGTTCCTTCATCCTTCTGATGTATTGTTCCTTGTCGGTGTAGTGTTCCGGTGCATTGGTTCCGGTGATGACGTCCTGGGGTATGGTCATCTCACGTCCATACAGCATGTAGTAGGGTGAGAACCCGGTGGTCGCATGTTTGGCTCGGTTGATTCCACATACTACGTACTGTAGATTCCGGTGCCATCGGTGACCATCCTTGGCGTCGCATTCCTTCCGATTGCCGTCCAAGATCGTCTGCATGGAACGTTCGACTTGGCCTTGACCCTCTGGGTGGTAGGCTGTTCCAAAGGTATGCTCGATCCCGAAGATCCTGGCCACTTTGGCGAAGGTCTTAGCCGTGAAGTGGGATCCTTGGTCGGTGTGAAGGTGGGTCGGCATGCCGTATTTTAGACATCACTCCACGAAGAACTTTTCGAACTCCTGCCGAGTTAGTCTTGGTCGCTCGGGCTATGGTGAACTTGGTGAACTGGTCGGTAACGACCGCGATGTATTGGTATCCTTTCGACTCAGTCCGGGTAAAGGTCCTTTAAAGTCCGCGTAGATTCGGAACCATGGTTCACCGACCTCCATCTTCTGGAGTTTACCGGGTGGTTTAGTCCGGGCTTGTTCACCAAGGTACACCGGGGGCAGTTATCCACGTAGTCGTGAATGTCGGATAGCATCCGGTCCCAGTAGTACCGAAGCTTCGCTGCCTCCAATGTCTTCACACGGCCGAAGTGGTTGCCGGTTTTTCCGTCGTGAAGTGCTCGGATGATGCCTTTTCGCATGAAGAGCGGGACCACGAACCGTCGTTCCAACTTGGTGTTGTGGGTGGTCAGCCGGTATAATAGACCTCCGCTCATCTGGTAATGTTCCAACAATGGGGATTTATGGTCCAGCTGATCCTGGTTTTCCAGCTCATCGATCTTCTTCCGGAGGTGGGGGTCCCGGAGTTGCAGTCTGCGTAACTCCTTGTTGGACTCGATCGGCTTCTCTTCTTCATCCTCGGGTTCGCCTTGTGAACCCGGAGCCTCCGGTCCGTTAACCTCAGTAGTCCGTACTCTTGCGGTTTCGACCCTCGACTCGCCTTGTGAGCCCGGATCGTCCGGTACGACTACGTTGCTTACCCTTACATATGGGGTAGATAGGTCGTTCCAGTCCGAGATGACCTTGCATCCAGGCAGCGGGGTTACTTTTGGGACGGGGCGACGCATATTTGTGGTCTGCCTCCATTCAGCTGCCACTCGGAGAGACCTTATTTTAGCCTCATCCGTCCAGCCTCCGGGCTCAAGTATGAGGTCCGGATGTCTTCGGCTCTTTTCCTTGATTTCGTGTCGTTGTACCCGGAGAGACCTTATTTTGATCTCGTCCTTTAAGTCCTCAAAATTGGGTACCTTGTCCAATTCTTCATGGGGGTCGTTATCGTCGGGTCGTTCAAGGGGCCACCGAGACAGAGCATCCGCATTATCGCAGAAAATTCCAGGTTTGTACTCGATGGTAATGTCCTTGCCTTGCAGAGCCAAAGCCCACCGTGTTAACCGGGGGTTGATGCCGGGTCTATTGGACTCGCAGCGCATCAAGTTCTGTAAGGCTCGGTGATCCGTTCTGACGGTGAAGGGTCCATGGTCAATGAAGTGTTTAAACTTCTGGACGGCCCAAACTACGGCTAGGCATTCCCATTCGGTGACTCCGTAGTTCTTCTCGGCTCCATGGAGAACTCGGCTGGCAAATGCTACAGGGTGGTCTTCTTGTGACAACACCGCGCCAAGTCCGGCTCCACTGGCATCGCATTCGATTACCGTCTTCTTGGTCGGGTCGAATTTCGCGAGTACTGGGGCTGTAGTTAGAGCCTCTTTGATGCCATTGAACTCCGCTGTATGGTCGTCCGTCCAGTCTGTCCGGATGGAATTAGTCTTCCGAAGGAGTTCATAAATCTTCGATGTCCGTTGGGCATAGTTGCGGATGAACTTCCGATAGTAGTTAGCCAACCCGAGGAACGACCGCAATTGGCATTCTGTTCGCGGGGGTTGGTGTTGCGCAATAGCCGCTACCTTTTCGTCGTCGGTCTGGACTCCGGCTTTGCTGAGGACATGTCCGAGGAAGGGTAACTATCCGTTCCAACCTCGCACTTCGAGGGTTTGATGGTGAACCCGGCCTCAAGTAGGCAGTCCAGGGTGGCTCGGAAGGCTTCCTTGAATTCTTCAAAGGTCCGGCCAAAAGAAGATGATGTCATCGATGTACGCAAAAACACCTTTCTTGCGGGCTTTTGCGGTTATCTTATCGACATGCATCTGGAAGGTTGCGGGTCCGTTACAGACTCCGAACGGCATCCGGTTAAACCTGTACATGCCTTCTGGCGTAACGAAGGTTGTCATGTCCTTCGAGGCTTCGTCCATTGGGATCTGCCAAAAACCGGATTGGCAATCTACCTTGCCGTAATATTCCATCCCGGCGCACTTGTCCAGTAGTTCATCCGGGTTCGGAAGGGGGTAGTTGTTCTTTTTGGTTACTGCATTCAACTTAATGTAGTTGATGCAGAACCTGGTTCCGACGGAGCCGTCCGGGTTTTTCTTGGCTGCCAAGACCACGGGAAGCTCCATGCTGCGTCGGAGGTTCGATAACTCCTTGGTCCAGCATCTCTTGGACGTGTTTGGAGATGAATTCGGACCCTTCCAACTGGTTCTAGTTGGGTTCATCTTTATAGGCTTTGCACCTTGGACGTCGATGACGTGGGTGACTCCCTTGACGTCACCGTAGGGTCGTTTGAGGTTGGAAAGACAAGCCGATACTCCCACGATGTCCCGTAGAACTTGTCGCTGCTCATCGGTTAAGTTGTCACCGAGCTTCATGGAGTTGATGGCTTTCTTTTGTTCTTCGACGGTTGCCGGGTCTTCGTCACCTTCTTGGGTAAGTCGGACCCGGGCCTTTTGGTCGTCCGTCATATGTTCGTACGGCTCGACTCGACCCATTGGGGTTCCTTTCCGGATGGTTATATCCTTATTAGTGTGGTTAGCCACGAGGATGGTGAACTTCTTCCCGTCATGTGGGGTCGGACCATCCTTCATCTCGATACCTTCCGCTAAGGCTTCTTCCGAGCCGAGGTACATCAGGTACTTGTTCTTAGCGGGGTCAACTTCTATGTCGAGGGTTACCGTAACTTCGACGATAGCCCTGGGAAGTAGCTGGATCCGTACCGTAGTGGCGTCATATTGTGTCGCCCTCGGTAAGCTGTATGGCCGGTCTCCATTTTGTGAGACCCGGGCTACTCCCATCGGGATTTCCCATTCAATCCCTTCATTGTCGGGCTCGAACCCGTAAGTGTCGCTGTAGTGCATGTATCCGATCTTCGCACCCCTTCGGAGTACCTGGTTGTACTCAGTCGCGTTTTGGATCTTGATCCATGCAGTATCGCAAGTTGGTCGGATCTCAATGGTGTCTTCGATCGGCCGAACTCCCGGAGTACTTCCGCCGGAAAGACTCGAATTGGATATCCCGGTGAGGGGCCATACTCTTAAGGGTTCGCACCAGTACGGCGCATGTTGAGAAGGGTGGTAAGGTACACCTGTTCTCAATGAACACGGGCTGTCGGTCTTCGTCCTTGTCCTCGGTATGGAGCTGAAGACGATTGACGGTTGGGCCTGTAGCTATTGGCTTCAGCCTCCGTACCCGTTTCCATGGGTTATAGACGGTCTTCTCGGACTTAGTCTGTCGTACCGAGGCTGCCTTCGGTTTAGCCGAGGCTCCGTCTGGACTTGCATTTTTGTTGGGTTCAACCGGGTTACCTCCGACGGATGTCGCCTGTTGGGCAATCTGTTCGTCGTCGGTCTGAGATACCCGTTGTCCCGCCGCACGGACGTCATACGTGGGGCTGGCTTCCGAGGATTCGGCTTCGGAGGTGTTAGGGTCCTGTTCCAGGCCCGTATCGCTGGACGTAGCCGAGGTTACTGGGCTGTCAGCCGGGTGAAAACCGTAATTGCGGTTAACTCAGCCCGTCGTTGTGAGCCTCCGTTCTGGGGTTGCTGGGCTTCCTTTGAGGTTCGTTGCCGGACGATCCACCTTTTGGGGTTCGTCCGGGGGTGTGTCGATTCTACCCATTGAACCGAAGGGTCAGCCTATGTCGTTATCGTCGTCGTCATCGGAAGTATCCGAGGAGTTATTGTCTGAGGGGTCGGATGGCTCATTATCGGAGTCAGTGTCCGGTGAGTCACTTGTGCTCTGTACATCCGAGGCTTCCGAATCCCAATCTCCAAATTCGTCGGCTTCGCCTTCCTCCGCTGTTCCGGCGGATGGTCCAAGTAGACCGTCAGTGACCCTAGTTGGGGTCTGCTGAGTCGGTCCTTCCCGGTTCGGGAGGTCCAGGGGATGGTGGCCTACCATGCTCCCAGACTTCTTCGTTTCGAGTTCTGAGGGCTTGGACGATCGCTCCATTGTTTTCATGGCAGATCGGGCATTCTAAGGCCATATATTCCTGATCCGGGGCTTGTGCCCGTGTGTTGGCTAGGCGGCCCCCCGTTTTGTGGGTGCACAGCCTCGGCTAGCCTTACTTTCTTGGCCTGGTGCCAGTTACAAGGCTCGATCGGAGGTTCAGAGTCCGGTACGACCCTAGTTATGCGGGTGTCTTCGCCGTATCGACTCCAAAAGGAGGCAGTATCCAGGGTACCGAAGTGGTAAGGGTCCCGGAAGTGCCACATAAGGCGTCGACCCAGTTCATGGGACTGGATTTCCAGTATTGCCGGTATAGGGAGCTGATGTTCCACAAATTGTGCGTGGAGTACGATCCGCTCTTCTTCCCATTCGATGATCTCCTCTTCTAAGGCTTCGGTTAGGTTAATTACCTCCTGGCATTCCTCCCCTTGCGGCTCGGATCTGATCATCCGTTCTTGCGCCGACTCGGTCGAGTGCGAGTCTTATGCCGATCGTCCGGGTTTCAAGGAGGTGTCGAATGCCGGAAAACCAGGTTCGGTACCTTTGGTTAAGTATACCAGAGGCCGATGCCTCTGGTATCGGGATAGACTTTAGTATCCCTCGGACTGGTTCCAATCGGGTCGTCCGTACTTTCGCCAAGTATTGTTCGATGGCGTTATGGATCTGCAGCTCCGTTACGAGGCTTCGTTCGGTATCCGAGCATTGCGGGCAGACCGAGGGTCCGGGGTTCATCGGGTGATCAAGCCGACTTATCCGAGCCTCATTCGCTGCCGTGCCCGATGCCTCTGGTATCGGGATAGGCTGCACTACACCCGAAGATGGGTTCCGCTGACCCTCGTTGGGGGTCGTTGGCGCTCGGATGAAAACAAACTTGGAATGCAAGTAGTCGCATCCAAGAAGCACAGGAACGTCCGAGTCGTTGGGTTGGACGTGGAAGGTATGGGGACTGGTGAATCCTTGCAAAGTTACCGGTT